AGCCCATTAGCAGAGCTTGAAAAATCTTTACCAGAGGCAGATTTCCTCGACGCGTGCGTGTGGTGTGGTGTTGTGCTGCAGGGTGGCAGGGGTGAAGCCACCAGTTTCGGCAGCACGTAAACAGGGCTGGCTCCAGGCACCAGCTTGCTAAGCAGGTGCTTGGGGCGGCCACTCCGGAGAGGGGCGGCACGTCCAGCTATTCGGCGGCAATTCGGCGGACGGTCCCTCACTCCCGCTCGGAGCGAAGGACCTCCCGCCGAATTGCCGCCGCAGATCACGATCGCGGCTTTTTTGTTTGTTTGTTTTTGGGTTTTTTTGCGCCGCTTGGGGCGGCAAAAACCCTGGAGCCAGCCCTGCACGTAAGCTGTCGTTTAAAAGTGTGTGCCTGTGCTTGTGTGTGGATTTACCTAGGATATTTCCTAGTTCTAATGCTCATGAAGCAAACTGTCTGAAGGAGAACAGAGCGTAAAGGGACGCAGGATTAGGTGTCCCAGTCTAAAGGCAGACAGCTCTGCTCCTCTGCCAGCTCTGCCCAACAGCAGAGTGAAATTAACAAGTCGCCGGTCCATTTCCACTGCTGCTATTCAGACCCTGTGAGCAAGCAAGGAAAGGATCAAGAAAGAATCCTAAGGCCAGAAGGGACCATTGTGATCATCAGCTCTGAGCTCCTGGCCACAACACAGACCCTACAGCAGCGATACTCAGACTGCGGCTCGCAAGCCACAAGTGGCTCTTGAATGTGTCTCCTGCGGCTCTTTGCAGCACATGACATTAAAACACTGTGGGATTTAATTATTCACCAATCTAAGTTATTAACCAATCAGGATCCTTTTACTATGTTATTAACCAATTAAGTTATCAACTTACACTGTTATTAACTTATTTGCTGTAAGAATTATATATATATTATATATATAATTATATATATATTATATATAATTCTCATAGCAAATAAGTTAATAACAGTGTAAGTATATATATACACACAGGCACATACATTTTATATATATATAAACATTTTCCTATCATACTGTTTAAATATGACTAGTACTGTAGTAAATGAAACCATGAACTCACACAACAGGGGCTCTTTTGGGTCGCTAATTTTTGGCTCCTGAACGCCTGAGGTCTGAGTATCGCTGCCATGGAGTGTTACCCAGTAGATCCCATCGGTGTCATGTTTCTGTTGATTTGGGGGAGCTCTGAGCAGAAGCAGTGCTGAGGGCCACTCAGAAAATCAAAGGCTGGGGGTAGGGCACAGTAATGGGGACCCACCTTGGCCTTGCAGCTTCAGGGAAGGGGTGGTGAGCACACGCCCCTTGGTGACTAATGGGGAAGCTGTGAAGTGCTGTCACGGGGCTCACTACTATTACTAACACTGTAAGGGACTGGACCGCACGAGCGGGGGCTCCGGCTGGCACAGTAGCCTGAGTGTTGCTCGCTGAATGCATTGCATTGAGCCCAACTCCTTCTCTCCCCCGTCCTCCCAGCCTGACTGTGTCTGACATGGGACAAGCTACACACAGCCGTGTCCCAGCCTGCGGCCTTGGGGAAGTGGCTGAGATGGAAGTTGGCTTTAGTGGGATCTGAGTGTGCAAATCCCTCGGTGGCTTTGCAGATGTCAGCCTAGGCCAGGGCTTCCCAATACGCTTCCCTCCTACTGCGGCCAGTCCAGGATCCCTGGGGGGCTGGGAGGCCCCTGGGTTCAGCAGCTCCCTGCACTGTTCCAACCCATGTGCTTCAGTCCCCTGAGTGGATGCTCGAGGCTCCGTCTCTGGGCTTAGGGCTGCTCTAGGTGGGATCTCTATGGTTAGAGCCAAGGACTGTAAGAGCAGTCCCAGAGCGGGGGAGCAGCAGGCCAGGCCCAGAGCCACCCTCCCCCCAGGAGCTGCAACCAGGGCTCCCCTCCCCAGCCCAGCCCAGCCAAGCCAGGGAGCTGCCAAGAGCCCCTATCCTGCAAGCCAGAGAATGGCAACCTGGGCCAAAGGCTCCTGTCCCTCCATCCCCAGGAGCAGCAGCCCGAAGCCCCCCAGCAGGAAGTTAGGGGCTAGGAGCGGCCCCAGCAGCCCAGCCCCTGATGGCAGGGAGCAGCCAGGTCCCCCTCCCTGCCCAGTGCAAGCAGCAGGGGTCAGCACCCCAACCTTGGTCCCCACCCAGCCTAGGACAGGGAACAACCAGGGGCAGAGCCGCGTCTCGGAGCAGCCGGAGTTTCCCGGGCGCCAGCCAGGGAGGAGCACGGCCGGGCCTACGTTCCTACAGCTCATTCCCTGCTGCCGGCTTGAATTCTGGGAAACGGGCCACTGCTGTGCTTTCTGTAAAGGGGATTGTGTGTTCAGGAGAGATGCAAATTAAGGGATTGTCATTTACATAAGACCAGCACCCTGACCTTGCAGCTTCCCCCCCTTACACATTCTCCAGCCTCCTTTCATTCAGCATGGCCGACACATCTGTGTAAATTTCCATTCCCATTCCTTGGGCCTTCCATTTCCTGTCACTCACTGGAGCTGTAGATAGCATCGTCCAGTCATCCACCCTTCTCCTCCTTCAACGTCAGGGCGTCTGGACAATCCGGGCCTAGCATCCGGCCCAGCCCCGCTGCCTCCAGACGCCTCTGCTTGCATGGAGTTGTCTGGAGCCACTGGTGAGCGTCAGTCCCCAGAGGGAAGTGATGGAAATCCTTTCAGTGGCTGGCCATCTCCAAAGAAAACATTACCCTGAGGGGGCAGCCAGGCCCAGCTGTTGGACCCCGATTCACCCCCACTGCTTCAGACTCAGTCTCCCTCCCTCTGTGTATCAGACTCAGGAGATTTGTCAAAGGATATTGAGCTCCCTTTAAGGAAGGGCTCATGGTGTGTCACAATTCACCACCACCATCACCCTAGTGAATCCTTTGTTACACGAGGATGCTGCTGTAAAACGTCTGTAGGCACCTAAGGCTTCACAGCTGTTGCAGTGCTGAATGTCAGGGTCACTAGGAACTTAACAGAAGCAGCAGGGACATCAGATCTTGCTCTGATAGTCCAGGCCTGTGTGCCAAAGTAGAATCTCCATTAGCTGTTAGCTGTATAGGGCCTCTGACACACAACTGAACAATTCTGATCCCTCCAGTGAAAGCCATCTGTCTCTCTCTCTCTCTCTCTCTCTCTCACACACACTTTAATTAGTAAATTTTCTTCCTTTGCCTGGTCTTCATTGGCTGCCTGTAGGAAAGGGGTCTCACCACCATAGCACTGACAGCTCCTGCCCCTCCCTGCCTTGGCCATTCACACAGGCGGGCAGAGAGTTGTCAACCTGCCTGTCATTCTCGACGTTCTGTATCCACGGAGCCTGTTCTCTCCCTATATGCACCTCACCTCCTTAATATCAATGAGAACCTCAGGATGCAGAAAGGGGAAACCAGCCAGCCCCTACTGTAATTCCCTGTCCGCCCTTCATCCAGAGCAGGGTGGACAATGCCTGCCCTTCAGCAGCAGCAACTGCTCAATCATAAAGTGTCATGAGCTGGGGACTTGTTCCTGCGGGATATGTAGGGTGACCAGACAGCAAGTGTGAAGAATTAGGATGGGGGTGCGGGGTAACAGGAGCCTATATAAGAAAAAGACCCAAAAATCGGGACTGTCCCTATAAAATTGGGACATCTGGTCACCCTAGGGATATGGAACCAAATACCTCTAGGTCATTACTGGTCTGAATCCAGCTCAGGTTGCCTGGTGGTCTGTGTGAGATGAGGTGTCTCGCCATATCCTCACCCATTTCTCCAGGATCTCAGCTCTAGCAGGATGACATTTTTCCAAGGTCAGGGCAAAAAGTATGTATTTTATTTATATTCCTCGACATTGTTGTGTTTTTATTTTCCTGCAGTTTGGCCAGTTCTAGTCTCAGCTTCTGCCAAACAGAGCCAGAGGGGCATATTCTGATCGCCCTTACTCACGCCGAGTAGCACCTTTGGCTTCAGAAGTCCCATTGCCTTCAAATGGGACAATTCCACAATCAGCTGCGTTGCAGTCAGCAGAAGTAAGATCTGCTTGCAGGATCAGGTCTCTAACTTGCCTCTTACAAGAAGGATTCCACATGCATTCCAGTAACTTAGAGTTTCTGTGTTGTTTTTTTGAATGGCACATTGTTATTGTCCCCTCAGTAAAATGTTGCGTGCCCCGGTTTTTAGATGACTTAAATAACAGCTTCTGATCTTTCCGATTTCCTCTTGCTGTGCTGCAGACCGGGGGGTGTACGTGGCTTGGGGGACTTCTTGTGCTCAATTGTTTGTGAAAGGTATAGCATGATTTTGTCAAGTGTTTGGTTGCAGCAGGGACATAGCATTTTCCATACCGGATCAGAGCTTTATTAAGTTCAATCTCCTGCCTTGGGCAGCGGCCAATATGTGACACTTCAGAGGAATTTTTGAAAAGCCCCAACATTGAGCACTTGGCCTGTTGCGAAATGCTGTGTGTTTAGGTGGGAGGGAGCAGGGCCGGGATTCCTGACCTCGGTGGGAATTGACCGCTCATGTCCTGAAGCATGAGCTCTGATCCCCCAGAGTGGGTGTGCGAGTCACGTATTTCTCTGTGCTCTGGCATGCTGAGATCTCACGATTGATTCATGGTCAGTTTTGTATGGATGGGTCTGAAAATTTCACTTTGAATAAGGGTCAGGATTTCAACCCCCGAAGCATGGGGGTGTTTAAAGGTGGAAGATTTGTGGCTGAGTAGGCAGTGTGATGTGCTATTTGCGGGATCTGGGAAAGGTGGGTCTAGGCCCACCCAAAACGAAAGCCCCCCACCATAGCTAAGGGGGAAGAACCGCTAATCCCAGGCCACAAGTGGGTATGTAGGGCAACAAATTTAAAAATAGGAGCAGGAGTGAGGTCAGAGATTGAAAATCAAGGAACCAAAGGGGGATGCTGAGCAGAAAGCCCAGGACAGCGCCCACTGTCCCTCAAAGGCAGCTAAGGTGTCAGTGGACACTGCTCAGAGGAACTCAGCCTAAGCTTATGCTATAGAGGCTCTGTGGCGCAATGGATAGTGCATTGGACTTCTAGCTTAGTGACAGATAAAGTCATTCAAAGGTTGTGGGTTTGAGTCCCACCAGAGTCATATTTTGGGGGTTAAATTAAATGACCCTTTTGCTCCCTTCTAACCCTATGGTTCTAGGATAAGGCATTGGGCTGGGACTCAGGAGACCTGGACTTTGTTCCTGACTCTGCCACAGACCTGCTGGGTAACCTTGGGCAAGTCACTTCATCTCTGTTTCCCCTACCACCCTTGTCTAGTTGGATTGTAAACTCTTCAGGGCAAGGCCCATCTCTTGTTATATGCTTGTACAGTGCCTAGCACGATAGGGCCCACATTGGATTGGGGCCTCTAGGTGCTACAGTAATACAAAGTACAGCAGCATATGTGGCTTATGAGATTATTTGGAGAGCCCTACATTATGCTGGTGGAACCCACTATTCGGTGTATTATCCAGCCCCGCTCTGTGGCTGGCTTACAGTGGATATGACTGTACTGCAGGTACCACTTAACGGAGTTACTCCTTCAGCTCAGGTGGTCGCAATTCACACGTTTAGTGCTGGGGATCCAGGGTTCAGTGCCCAGGGCTGACCTGTAATGTCTGTCGTTACCCAGGCACAGGACGAAAGGCGGGAGCGTAGCCTTAATTTGGACTTTCCTCTCTATCAGCATAGTTCTAGTGTCTGAATGATTTTGCTGCTGCTTTTCCCTGGAGCTAGTCTCAGAGTTGGCCCTGACAGACCCTGATGAAAGTCAGTGGAGCTCCACCATGGATGGAGAGTGGCTTGCAAATAATGCCCTCCCTGACCAAGTCCATACAGCTGCAAAGACAGGATGTGTTCTCCAGAGAGAGGGTGTATTCATGGTAAGCTGGTGCTTCCCCCACCTCTTAGCCAAAACGCTAGGAAGAATCCTGTTTGGTTACTTTTTAAAGCGCAGTTACAGCTGATTGAGGAAATGTCCTTTTCAGTAACCTAGGAACGGTTCAAGATATTCCGTCCTTCTGTCCTTCCTTGCTTCCTTCCTGTATTTACGGCCTCTAGAACAGCCCCTTCAGGGCCAAATGTTCTGCCAAAGCAAATGTTTAACCTTGACATTGTAAACCCTTGGAAACTGGAGCTGAAAGCGCCCCCCCCCCAACCCCTAGCCCGTATCCCACTGGCAGCATCTAATGACTGACAGCTGTGCTTCCTCAATACATCCCAACCCCCTGTGCTCAGACACGTTCTGCCTGCAAGTCTCTTCTCAGCTCCTGCTGCACCTTCTTCCTGTGCCCCCAACCTGGAGCCCCTTCTTGCTGTCCTGAGCAGGAGATGGGCTCCCAGGGACCTCTTGTTCCAATAAGGACAATGCACCACAGCCTTCTGCCTTCTCCCCTCCCACCACCCAGGCTTCTTAGCTAATGCTTCAGTTGCCCTTTATCTGTATCCTCTCCTGGGCTCCCCCCCTGCATCCCTGACCCCTTCCCTTCCCTGGCCACTCTGTGCTCCTTCTCCCCTCCTGATGTCCCAGGCCCTTCTCTCTTCTCCCATCCTCCTGTGCTCCTTGCCCCCTTGAGCCCCCTTCTCACTGTAACTGTTCTGTACTGCAGCGAGATGACTGACATTGAGTTGCTTCCCCTCTAGGTCCCACGACTGCTGATGTTTGCACCCTTCAGCAGATCGCGAAGGACAAGGTGTCTTACACGACAGGCAAGGCCGTGAACGGCTGCGTGAGCCGCAGCACCATGGGGAAACCTCAGGAAGTCCACGTTCTCCAAGTGAAAATAGAGAAGCAGGTCAGTGATTGGGGGGCTTGGAGGGTAGGGGAGAGACGCAGGGACACAATGTCTGCTCCCTGTCAGCAGACAGACCAGGTGCTTTCACTGCCTGGGGCATATGGCTTCATAGGCAGAGTTTGGGGTGGGGGTGGGGGGGCAAGGGAGGGCGTTGCCCCCCCCAAAACTGCAATATAGGAGTTCTGCAGAGGAGACCGGAGACGTGCTGCTGCTTGCCTGAGGCAGGGAGGCAGAATTTTGGTTTATAAACAGTAATTAACAGGTGATTAAGATAAGAAAGGGCTGTTAGGCTGTTTCCTAAAGTTAACTGATCTGTTCCAAGCTTGGTGAACTGCAATAATAGAATGTCCAGTATCAGGGGGTAGCCGTGTTAGTCTATATCCACAAAAACAACAAGGAGTCTGGTGGCACTTTAAAGACTAACAGATTTATTTGGGCATAAGCTTTCGTGGGTAAAAAAACCTCACTTCTTCAGATGCATGGAAAAGAAGTGAGGTTTTTTATCCATGAAAGCGTATGCCCAAATAAATCTGTTAGTCTCTAAGGTGCCACCGGACTCCTTGTTGTTTCAATAATAGAATGGTAATTGTAGATTTTTCTACAATTGTTGTATTCAAGAGATGGTAACAAAGTGACTAGTATCTTTCTTTGAGATGGTTTCAGAGTGGTAACCCTGTTAGTCTGTATCAGCAAAAAGAACAGGAGTACTTGTGGCACCTTAGAGATTAACAAATTTATTTGGGCATAAGCTTTCATAGGCTAAAACCCACTTCATCGGATGCATGCAGTGAACAATACAGTAGGAAGATATATATACACAGAGAACGTGAAAAAATGGGTGTTGCCATAACACCTATAACGAGACTAATCAATTAAGGTGGGCTACTATCAGCAGGAGAAAAAAACTTCTGTAGCGATAATCAGGATGGCCCATTTCAAACAGTTGACAAGAAGGTGTGAGTAACAGTAGGGGGGAAATTAGCATGGGGAAATAGTTTTTTACTTTGTGTAAAGCCCACGAAAGCTTATGCCCAAATAAATGTGTTAGTCTCTAAGGTGCCACAAGTACTCCTCGTTCTTTTTTCTTTGAGATGGTAACTGATTTTTTTAGACAAAGGAAATGCAGTAGATCTAATCTACCTGGATGTCAGTAAGGCATTTGATACAGTCCCACGTGAGAAATTATTAGCTAAATTGGAGCAGACGGGGATTAATATGAGAACTGAAAGATGGATAAGGAACTGGTTAAAGGGAAGACTACAATGGGTCATACTGAAAGGTGAACTGTCAGGCTGGAGGGAGGTTACTAGTGGAGTTCCTCAGGGATTGGTCTTGGGACCAACCTTGTTTAACATTTTTATTACTGACTTTGGCACAAAAAGTGGGTGTGTGCTAATAAAATTTGCAGATGACACAAAGTTGTGAGGTTTTGCCAATACCGAGGAGGACTGGAATGCCATACAAGATCTGGATGACCGTGTAAACTGGAGTAATAGAAATGGGATAATATTTAATAGTGCAAAGTGCAAGGTCATGCATTTAGAGACTAACAACAAGAATTTTTGCTGTGAGCTAGGGACTTACCAGTTGGAAGTGACAGTGGAGGAGAAAGAGCTGGTGTATTGGTTAATCACAGGATGACTATGAACCGTCAATGTGATGCGTCTGTGAAAAAGGTTAATGGATGCATAAGGAGATTTCAGTTGCCTAGGGAGCCCCTCGAATCATGGTTAAAGTTGCCCACCCCCCCAAATCTGAAATGGTGCCTCTGTGCAGGCATGGAATTCCCCCTCTCCCCCCCCATGCAGCCCCGTTGGCCTGACTGGAGCCGCCAAATACACACACACCAAATATAGACTGGTTAACCTGTCAAACTACGCCTATGTTAATGGCCCCTGGACCTGGGGAAAATCTGCCCCAGCACAGAGGTCTGGTATGGCTGTTTGGGAAAGGATCCTTTATGTATAGTGACCAGTAGGCTGGGAAGTCATTCTCTGTGCAACCGAGCTGGCAGCCTGAGCTTGGTTCTCTGCTAGGTAGGGGAGCAGAACTCAGAATGACTGGTGCGGGGTGGGGATGTAAATATCGTTTAAAAAATTAACTGTTTAAACTATTAAAAAATATTTCGTTTAAATGGTTAACTGATTAAAGGGAGAGGAGCTGGGGCTGCTCAGGCCGGCCGGTGCGGCTGGGGCTGGGGCAGATCCAGCCGGCGTGGCTGGGGCCGATCCGGCCGGCACAGCAGGGGGCTGCTGAGGTCAGCAGGCTCTGACCCTGTGTGTCTACAGGCGCCAATGGGTAATACTGGGTTAGTAACCATGGCAGCTAACAGTGATTAGCCCCTGCTAGAGGTCTAGGTTGGCCCGTGATTCTATCCCTCTAAGCCAGGGGTCGGCAACCTACGGCACGCATGCCAAACACGGCACGCGAGCCGATTCTGAGTGGCACGCTGCCTGCCCGGTGAGAGGAGGAGGAGGAGGAGGAGGGGCAGAGGGGCCGGAA